GTTACAATCATTGCAGGTTTTAGCAACTGGAAGACAAAAATACACAGACTGTATGTAAATATTACTATAGGAATAAGGATCTCAGACTGTATGTAAATATTACTATAGGAATAAGGATCACACACTGTATATAAATATTACTATAGTAATAAGGATCACACACTCTATATAAATATTACTATAGGAATAAGGATCACAGACTGTATATAAATATTACTATAGGAATAAGGAACACAGACTGTATATAAATATTACTATAGGAATAAGGAACACAGACTGTATATAAATATTACTATAGGAATAAGGATCACAGACTGTATATAAATATTACTATAGGAATAAGGAACACAGACTGTATATAAATATTACTATAGGAATAAGGAACACTGTATATAAATATTACTATAGGAATAAGGATCAGACTGTATATAAATATTACTATAGGAATAAGGATCACAGACTGTATATAAATATTACTATAGGAATAAGGATCAGACTGTATATAAATATTACTATAGGAATAAGGATCACAGACTGTATATAAATATTACTATAGTAATAAGGATCTCACACTGTATATAAATATTACTATAGGAATAAGGATCAGACTGTATATAAATATTACTATAGGAATAAGGATCTACACACTGTATATAAATATTACTATAGGAATAAGGATCTCAGACTGTATATAAATATTACTATAGGAATAAGGATCACAGACTGTATATAAATATTACTATAGGAATAAGAACACTGTATATAAATATTACTACAGACTGTATATAAATATTACTATAGGAATAAGGATCACACACTGTATATAAATATTACTATAGGAATAAGGATCACAGACTGTATATAAATATTACTATAGGAATAAGGATCACAGACTGTATATAAATATTACTATAGGAATAAGGATCTCAGACTGTTTATAAATATTACTATAGTAATAAGGATCACACACTGTATATAAATATTACTATAGGAATAAGGAACTCAGACTGTATATAAATATTACTATAGGAATAAGGAACACAGACTGTATATAAATATTACTATAGTAATAAGGAACACAGACTGTATATAAATATTACTATAGGAATAAGGATCACAGACTGTATATAAATATTACTATAGGAATAAGGATCACAGACTGTATATAAATATTACTATAGGAATAAGGAACACTGTATATAAATATTACTATAGGAATAAGGATCACAGACTGTATATAAATATTACTATAGGAATAAGGAACACAGACTGTATATAAATATTACTATAGGAATAAGGATCACAGACTGTATATAAATATTACTATAGGAATAAGGAACACATACTGTATATAAATATTACTATAGGAATAAGGATCACACACTGTATATAAATATTACTATAGGAATAAGGAACACAGACTGTATATAAATATTACTATAGGAATAAGGATCACAGACTGTATATAAATATTACTATAGGAATAAGGAACACAGACTGTATATAAATATTACTATAGGAATAAGGATCACAGACTGTATATAAATATTACTATAGGAATAAGGATCACAGACTGTATATAAATATTACTATAGGAATAAGGATCTCAGACTGTTTATAAATATTACTATAGTAATAAGGATCACACACTGTATATAAATATTACTATAGGAATAAGGAACTCAGACTGTATATAAATATTACTATAGGAATAAGGAACACAGACTGTATATAAATATTACTATAGTAATAAGGAACACACACTGTATATAAATATTACTATAGGAATAAGGAACACAGACTGTATATAAATATTACTATAGGAATAAGGATCACACACTGTATATAAATATTACTATAGGAATAAGGATCACACACTGTATATAAATATTACTATAGGAATAAGGATCACAGACTGTATATAAATATTACTATAGGAATAAGGATCACACACTGTATATAAATATTACTATAGGAATAAGGATCACAGACTGTATATAAATATTACTATAGGAATAAGGATCACACACTGTATATAAATATTACTATAGGAATAAGGATCTCAGACTGTATATAAATATTACTATAGGAATAAGGAACACATACTGTATATAAATATTACTATAGGAATAAGGATCACAGACTGTATATAAATATTACTATAGGAATAAGGATCTCAGACTGTATATAAATATTACTATAGGAATAAGGAACACACACTGTATATAAATATTACTATAGGAATAAGGAACACAGACTGTATATAAATATTACTATAGGAATAAGGATCACAGACTGTATATAAATATTACTATAGGAATAAGGAACACAGACTGTATATAAATATTACTATAGGAATAAGGATCACAGACTGTATATAAATATTACTATAGGAATAAGGATCTCACACTGTATATAAATATTACTATAGGAATAAGGAACAGACTGTATATAAATATTACTATAGTAATAAGGATCACACACTGTATATAAATATTACTATAGGAATAAGGAATACAGACTGTATATAAACTGTCTCTCTGCTGTTTCTAACTGGATGGCTGCCCACTTCCTTAAACTAAACTTGACCAAAACTGAAATTCTGGTCTTTCCTCCCTCATGTGTTGTTACTCCTGTGTCTGTCTCCCTCCAAGTCAACGCTGCTGCCATCAGTTCCATCACGCAGGCTCGCTGCCTAGGTGTTTTCTTTGACTCCGACCTCTCCTTCAAGCCTCATGTTCAATATATCGCCAAATCCTGTCATTTCTATCTCAAAAACATTGCGCGCATCCGCCCCTACTTAATGCCAGATGCGACTAAGGTGTTTGCCCACACACCCCACATTATAATTATTGCCTCCCAGACCCTTCTTTAGGGTGTTAATTAGTTAGTCACCTATCACGGCCATACGTATTGATTCTCTTAACATAACAGAGAGGCCAACACTCCGCCACAACGTTTCAGTGGCCACGTTCCCCTCAGGCCAAATCATAACTAGAGGTTCTCTTGGCCACTTGGCAACTAGCAGGGCCCCACCTATCGCGGGGTAGATTAATACTTTGTCTAACGACACTATATCAGCCAGCCAGTTTTATAAGTTGGTACTCTGTGGTATGGCTCATTGATTATTTTATCAATTTTAGCATGCCTCAAGCCTCTGATCATGAAGACGACCTGCCTCTTCCTGAAACTCCAGTCAAGCACCCCTGCCATTCCTGTGTCCTTGAGGTCTTGGACTATACCCAAGTTAGCCGCCTAGCTGTGCAAGAGGTGCATCCCCTTCCCAGCCACTACAAGGAAGGCGGAACTCTTTAAGCTCCTGTCCATCTAGGTTTTGTCTTCAGCCCATTTCTCATTCACCTTATGCACATGAATACCATCCGTGTTTATACTCACAAAGTTTCAAATAAAAAGACTGATCATTGATCTCTCCTCATTCTTCACACACAACAAACATTAACTCTCTCATTCTTGCTGAAAGTTTTTCCCTCCATTACACCACTGTTGTCTACGCTATCCAGGCCATTTTACACGCAGGTAAGCATGCTTGGCTTAGCAAAACTGACATCTCCAACACTTTCAAGATGCTACCAGTTCACTCGTCCCTATGGCATATTCATGGTGTTAAATGCAGGGATAATTATTGCTTTTACACTAGACTTACTTTTAGTTCTAGGGGCAGTACAAAACAGTTTCGACATCTTCACAGAAACACTCTGCTGGCTGCTTCTCAATGTTGTTCGATGTCCGAAAGTGATTCACTACCTCAACAACTTTCTCCTGGTAGAAACTGGTACACAAACACCTCAAAGTCTTTTCCCTACTGCCTGTTTCACCACATTAGGTATTCCTATTTCACCTGATAAGACTCTTGGCCCTCCACTAGGTTGGTGTTCCTGGGCATCACCTTGGACACGGTTGTTTTTTAGGCAAGCCTTTCAGAGGAGAAGCTGGTACACATTAGTGAGGAGATGGATCATTTCCTGCGGGCTGGTTCATGTACTCGTAGGGAGCTTCAGTTCTTACTTGGGTCGCTCAATTTTGCCATGCAAATCATTCCACAGGGAAGGGCGTTTATTTCTAAGCTTCTTTGTCTACTTCCCGGCTTGTCTGATTATGCAAACGTTCTCCTCGACCCCTGCCTTAGCTGATTTACGAATGTGGCATTAATTAATTGTTTCTTGGAATGATATTTCTGTGATTATTTTCACCTCTTTCTCACCATCACGCTCTTAATCCCCACAGCAGACAGGCTCCCGTCCAGAACTCTGCTATTCCACAAGCTTGTGATGGGCAAGCCAGCCTTCTGTCTCCCACCCGGTCACTATTACGTTCCGCACTCTCT